TAATGTGTATTATATTTGCAATAATAATGTATTGAATGTAATGTTAAATGGATTTGAGTCTCGAATACAACACAAAACTGAGTCTATTATTGTTGTGGACAGCAATCGCTTCCTTGCAATACATCCATGAAAACACTCACTCAAAACCATAGCAACCAATGCTTACCAACGCATACACTCTCTCTCCCTCTCTCTCACACTCGCCACACAATCGTTGCCGACTCACGCCTAGTGTCGCCACATGTCCTCACATCGAGACAACACACTATTCAATTGGCAATTGATTTTGTGAAGACATTTATATTGTCGGCTAATAAGTGGGCAAAAAGTAAAACCTATTGTTTTATGACTACTATATCCTCGTCTTATATAATGTATTCACAAATGATTTGTTGCATTCAATAAAACATAATTACAGATATAATTCAATAGAGTATAGCATTATTGTTGTGAAATATGTCTACAAGTGTTACGATATGTTTGACTATTTCCTAACAGACTTTTTAAAATAGCATTTGTATTTCGTTGACAATTATTTTTCAATGTTTCACATAATTTGTAGTATAAAATAGGGACAAAAATATTAACTTATTTACACATTTGGTTGAGAGCAGTGATTATGCCTCTAAGGCTTCGTCGTCGGTGTCCTCTTCGTTGACGCCATGAGATGATGACAGGAATATGACATTATCTATCAATACAATGTAATTACATTCAAATTAATAAATACACAGTAATATTAATAATGGGTTATGCGTTCATATGAGAGGCAATTAATGTAATCAAATGGTGTTTACCGGCGATTATACTCGTGATCTGATGTGAGTTCCCATTGGCGTCCGTCACCTCTCCGTACGACAGCCTTCCCTGAACTAAGAGACGACTCCTAAACCAATTGAATCAAACAAATCAATTATACAGTCAAAGACAGTATGAGTCAAGTGATAGTCTAACCCTTTCTTCGCAAAGCTGAGTGTCTTGTCCTGTAAGTGATTCCTAAAGACTGATATTCTGTGCCAATCAGTCTTCTGTTGCAATTCATCTAAATATTCACTTCAATTAGTCTTATGTTGAAAGCCATTGAAAGGCAACAGTAATGACAACACAGACCCGTCTCCTGATTCTTGTAGTGTGAATGTGTGGCCAACGAGAAGATAACGACCGGTCGGCTATCGGTTCCCCTCTTGAGGGCGTCGGCGCCGCACCGACCCATTAGTATCACTTGATTTATGCCTTGAGTTTACATTCAATTCACATTTAATGTCAAATCAGTTTTAATACAAATCAAACATTAATTCAAACCTTTTTCAATGAGCGGACGACTCGTTGAGTATTGATTTGTCGCTATATTTTGCAAATAACTCACATTTGACTGCAATTTAATACAAAATCAGTTAATTGTTTCAATTATTACCGTTTGAATGATTAAATTAATGTGAGATAACATCCAAACACTTACCAAAACATGAGATCCATTAAAACGCGTATAAATGTGTCGAAACATAATTGAATCAACACTTAATTGTGTCTAATCTTAATTGAAAACGTGATTAACAATTGATTTCAAATCAATCGGTTTTGGTTTGAAAGTCAATGTTTACAATAAAAACAAACGTAATGTAAAAACACGTGTTTTTTGACACATAATTCAAATTTGGTTCAAATGAACGAATCATTGAACACCTGATCAACGAATAGACACTTTGGGCGCTATATTTGAATGCAATGTTTGAACACTTGATTGGATATAGAAATCATATAAAATACTATTGAATTGAGTTTTGCATTTTTAATTGAATTTTGATTTGTTTTTTGTTTTTGCCTTATTTTATGCGTTAATTAAATGCTTTAATAGGAATGGGTTTGACGTCAAGGAAATGAAAATCCGTACACGAAGTGGTTATCCTTGAGATTATCGGTCAGTCAATCAATGAATTGCCGGTAAGTTTTGAATTGGAAAATGTGTTTTGCATAACATTAGCATAATATTGCGTGAATACAGTTATCTAAAC